CTGGTCTACTTGAAGTTTTGTTGGAGTTTTGTTGAGGCTTTTGGGCGAGCATGCCACACAACGCTCTGCACTATTTCAGGCCCTGACGAAGGCGAAGCCTTACTACATATCATGCCAAGATTGGAAGAAGGTCATAGACTATTTTGAATCATCTCAAGCGAGAAAAAGCTCGCTAAAGGCGATCAAATTGATATAGAATGGTTTTCTGGCCCACGATTGCAAAAATCCTGCTGCTTCGCGACCTGATCTATGGTCTTATGGGCATGAGGCGTCACGATTATAAGTGCACCAAACCACCGCTGGAGCGGCAAGCGCTCACCCAACATCACGTTCACAACTCGTTCAAATAATCGTTCGGTAATTTTGAAATCACATTTGAAAACATCCGGAAACGGGTACGACGATATATGTCTCACATCAAATGGCCCCTTTGACTTGGTATCTTTCACTTGTCAGAAAAAAAAAACACGCCGACGACTCTAACAAACAATCACACAAGATGAGTGCAGCATCAAAATGAATACCAGTGAGTGACGACACGTTTCACATAAGTGTAACCGTTATTCTACAAGCAACAGCTTCTTTACTTACCTGAAGCTAGGGTGCATCGAGTTCATCTGCAAATGTGACGCCGAACTATCCTCCTGATCGCGAAACGAAGGAGCAGACTGAATGTGCGACATTATGTGCTGATGTGGATCCTGGTAGATGTTCTCTGTAATAGTACAATATTAGTCAGCAAGTACATACTGCTCAGTATTGCAAATATTTGAAAGTATGGCATTGAACAAGTCTTTCCAGAGTCATAGCCAATCTATAACACTGTGGCGCTGCACAAAAATACACTGAACACTGACAGCTGAGATAGCTATTGCTTTATGAGCAGACTATGGATAAGCGGGATTCAGGTGCATTTTCATGGGGGAGTAATTGAAAATATCAAATATTCTCAACTCAAAAACAGGTTGCACAATGCCTTACTCAGGCTTCATTTTTAGTTCCCAACTTCAACATTCAAAAAAAATTTTGATCAAAGTTTTCTCGTCGAGCAATCGCGCTTTCAACTTATGAAGAAACCTTGAGTACTATGCCAATCTCTCTGTGGCGCTTAATCTTCCAATATGCTCTTGTTTTCTGACTATACACAACGCAAACTTTGAAGCCGAAGCTCGATCACACTTACTGCATTCGTGAGCTTTTTCTTCCTAAAGAAGAAGAAGAAGTGAACCGCAAAAGGCTATTCAAAACCGGTCAATGGATGAGTATATGCAAAAGGCAAAAATTAAACTCTTGAAGACATGACCTCACAAAAGCAATCTCTTGTACACTACAATATTAACATTTGGGATACTAAAGAAATTTTGAAAATTTTGAACAAATGTTCAAAAAATTGGTTTGCGAGGAGCATGGTACCTCAAAAAATGGTGTATGGATGGAGTCGAGAAACAAACACTGAACAAACGAGAGTAACTTTAGCATGTAGTATAACAAAGAAGGACATGAATCAAGTTTCTGCAACCTCTATCTGCACAAACCAACAGATCCTATTCCATTCTACCAATAAAGACAGAGTTGATTTCCACAATTGGCATACGACTGTTTAAATAGAATTAGTCGAGCATCGAAACCCATTTACCATCTTCTCGTCGAGCAGGCCGAACAATTACCAGCGATAAGCGGCGACAGCAGAACATCGATAGCCAGCCGTCAGTCCCCGTTGCGAAGGGGAAATCGGATGAACCGTCTTAATCCTACCCAGGACATAAATCTCGAGACGGAGTTAGTTGGAAATCACAAAACGTAGGCTCCGTATTACATCAAGAACGAGGGTCTTCTCAAACCAGTTCTACCAATTAGTTTTATTTCCCGTCATATCACCACGCAAATGAGACCCATACCTAAACGGCTCGACAAAACTTGAATTTTTTTTATTATATTAGCACGACAAGTAGGCAATTGCTGGGGAACTTAGCGATAACTATTCGTAATGGTACTTCAAGGTTGTAAACAATATTGTAGGTCCTAGTTAGTTCTAAGTCGACACTTTAAGTTAGCTGTTAACCTGAATTCATTTAACAATAGCATCGGTGAATACTTCAACAAACAGCAACAAAAATCTATTGATACCACTCAAATACATTATTCTTACGACTCTTAATTCGGTCTATTCGGTTGAAAGAAGGCACTAAAATGACTTAATCAGGACTCACGAGTCGCTGACATGACCTTATACACCGCGTCCTTTTATAAAGTTTTACAGGAACAGTGTCTCGGTGAATAAGAAAGGGTAAGTGTAAAGTAATGACTAAGCGGGTTCGCCGTAGCCATCATCCATCAAACAGTTGGTAACCTGACTGATTAGGAAGAAGTTTGCATGGTCGTAGGAGAACACAATCTTTCGAAAAAACTAAAACCTCTATTCTCAAGATGTGTTAATGGTCACCAGTTGAAGGTGAGTAATTCTCAAATGAAATGAAAAAGGGTCAATACAGAATGAATTATGAGTGTTTCATGGGCATCAATGAATTTAATAAACAATAGTGCAACTGAAATGCACCAAGTCAGCAAGCGACAACCGGCAGATACAGTATACTTGAAACTTGGTAGGCAAAATGAAACCTTTTTGAACATAAATGTAAACACCGGCTAACTCCCAAAGTCCAAATTCAATTAAAGAGCGTTTTAAAGTACCCTCCGGGAATACCGTATGGCTTAACCGGAGAATAGCTTACTATGTACTCACATAGAGCCTATAACTAAATTTCTGCCAACTAGTCATCACGGTTTTTGCTCAACCTACATGGCTACAATTCTTATTTTTACTGCCTACTCAGGGTCGCTATTGTTACACTTGCTGGTTGCTGACGGTATTTGTAGTGGCTCGCAAGTTCCTACTGATTTCACCTATTGTATTCATCTTATGCAGTCTTTATAAGATTCCCTGTGGCACAGTTGAGTGTCGTGCTCGTTCTTGAATGCGACTCAGATTGGCCGCCTTTAATTGAAGCCATACTACATCTAAATTCTACATAGTATATGGTACTGCGGTCTTCGATTGCCGGCATTGGAGCTTCACGCAATTTGGATTCAGAGGAGAATTACACACCAAACATCTTCGTGCCACGGTCAACAAGCATCGTCGAGCACATACCAAAATAGATATCGTCTCGAAGAAGAATGATGCTCATTGCTCAGTTTCTTTCAGGCGGTCCATTAATTTTGCATCACATTGTACATTGGCGTTCGGTAGGATTTGCAAATGGAAAAAGGAAGCTCGTGACTACATCCTTTACCGTCTAGTAGAGTATTTTTGCACAAAAGACTTTTACCCGTTTTGTTATTCCACTCTACAGGGTGGGCCAAAATTATGATTACACAGAAATCGCATCGCAGAAAACGAATAGAAAGCCAATAGAGCAAACCAATTTCATCAAAGGGTTTAGCACAAATTTCTTATCAAAATTGTATATTGAGACTGGGGATATGTTGCTTTCTGTTTTCACCCAACCCCAAAGACGACGATGGACGGCGTTGACGGTGGCACGCAGCTAGGGTCATCGAAATGGTCCCGGATTTTTGCTAAGCATTTTCGAGATTATTTCTTCTGTTGTTTGGGCTAAAGGATGCTTTCATCTCAGAGGCTGACCACATTGAGACATTCATGGGATTTAGGTCAGGGCNGCCCTCGCCTTCTTAATGGCTTATATGCCACAGCTTATCAGCACTCACACGCACAACGTGGTGAGCGGGTCGGCCAAGATCAGCACTGAAACGTTAAGCTGCAAGCTTTACATGATAGACTTTACATGACTTGACGTTTTGTTAACTGCTGTTTTATCGCCGCAGTCGCAAAGCGAACGTCTCACAAGGTTGGCTATTTATGGACAAAACTTAACAATACATCAAGTCAAAACAAGTACTATTTGAAGCATTTCTTTTTCAGAAGGAGAACCTTTTTTTCTAAGCGAACACCATATATTCTGTACTGTTTGATATATCACCTTTTTAATTGAGGTAACGTAAACAATTACGAGTGGAAAAAGATCACATACATTTCATAAAAATGGTGATACATCTTAAAAAGTTCTAAATAGCAGGTCAGAGCAGACGTCGCGCGCGATCTAAGCTCTTAACCTAGGTCATTTTTAACTGGAGCAGCTTCAATTCAAAAACACGATGACTTTTGGAATCACACTCACCCTGCACCTCGCAAAGTTTGGCTTCTTCACAACTCAAAGTTTCATTTAACTGGCAATGTAAGCTCCCAAGGCGTAGAGAAATTTTCTTGGAAGACACATCGAGGCTACATAAGCAGTTTGATTCACTCTATCAGAAGACCAAAACAAGTGTCTTTTAGTCTAAGAATATCGCGATATGGGGTAAGTTTTATAAAAACATGCATTTAACAGCTAAATCCACCTAAGAAAAAAAAAAAGAAAAAATAACTTTCTACTTTTCAAAGGAAACCTGCGAACTAAACTTCTAGAATTGCAACTTGGAGCTTTGATTTCAGTTGGGGTAAAATTTAAGGATGTATTACCGTTTAGGAAGAAGAATAAAACAACTAGGTAATCACAAAAACGATAAAACATAAAAAGCCTCACCATTCGGGACTTGATACTCTCCCCCATGAACGAACTGATGATTGAGATAATCAATCGCCTGACCAACCGCTGAGACGAAATCTCGAGCTTCCTTTTCCGATGAGAAGTTCAAACCGTACACCTGGGCATAAAGATTTGCATAATCTCGAAAACGAGGGCAGGGCAACTTTATGCATTAACTGCTCGTCGTTCATTGAGCCTTGGAGTACATCCCTACATCAAACCTGAAACTCAGCTATAAAAAGATAAACGTACCTGTCGCTGCTCGTCCCGCCATTGATGGAATGTTGGCGTAGCGGTGTGATATTTGAGCTTATGGTGAATATTGCAGTTTAAGACCCATGCGCCGTCCTAAACTAGGTGCAATTATTGCAAACAATGTATGTATTTTTATGACGAATCGGAATGTGAATCAAAAATAGGGCTTGACATCATTTGCTGAGAACAATGAATCCACAGGGCATGGTCGTGAGATCCTGACACGGTTTCCTCGGTCAACAGTAGGCATTTCATTCCAAATCTTTCAACAGCTTTCAGACTACGACTACCGCCTGGCAGGATGGAAGCAGGGACTTACTTAGAGCTTCCCCCCCCCCCCCTCCCCCTTATAACTGTTTAAAAAACGTTAACATCAACCATCCCGGATGTGAATGGACGTCGAATGCGAAGGCGCATTCAAAAGAAGGCTGTCCAGCGCCGAAACATTATACTGTATTGTATCATGCGTGCATTTTCCACAGTTCGGCATTTGAACGACTGAAGCGACTACTTCCGGAGTCTTCTTTCTGCCTTACCAGGGACGCCATGATTTTCAGCTCTAAATGTCAAAGCTCAGAGACACGCCGGATTTCCCTGATAAAAATCAGCAACTTAAGCAAATATTACAACTCTCACATAAATTTTGCCATGAACGTGAAACTTGTCATATCTATGTAAAGATAGTGCAAAGGGTAACGAGCGCGGTGGTAGGGAAGTAAGTACGAGTTCGTGTCCGAGGCCGAAGTTTTGTACATAACTAGCCAACCTCGTGGGACTGTCAGACCTGTATTCCTTTCATAGTTAGCTTCTACTCAATTCAAAGTATGAATGCAAAGTCATGAAGTCTAACAAATCAACTGGAGGGGTTACCAATGAAACTTATAGGTAGAGAAATCCAGAAAGCCGAGAGGAAGAAATATCCAATTAAACTCTAAAGGTGATGTGATCATCAGAAGAGATCTGTTCTGATAAAGTATGTATTATGAAAAGTCTAGTGAAACCCACGGTAAACGAACCTGCTCCCTAATTGCGATAATTCTGAATGTTTGCCGTATAGCATTGTGCAGAACCTGTATGCTCGAGATCTTTCCCTCGCAACCGGCTGGAGCTTGCCATTGTTTACGATTCTCGTTGTATATCATTACCTCAGCTGCTGCTGCAGCCATCGAAGACTCACTGAAACATCATTGACTACCTTACACTTCATTTCTCATATTCTTTAGTGCAAATTGAAGCATTTCCCAATACCACAGTAAGGCTATAAGCTCGCCATCACCCAGTGCTTCAGCCATTTCTCCTTTCTGTATTCAACCTCTCAACACAAAACATGGTGGTACCCTACACGACCACCTAATCTAACAGAAGAGCGATTGACCCATCTCTTTTGGGCATGTATACCTCTCGTACTCGCCATCGAATCCGACTTTACAAAAAGATGTAGTATAACCTGTGCCCACACAAGATTCAAAAGAAAGCAGGAATTTTGAAGGCAACGGATGAATTCAAACCCTTCTTATGAGATACCCTTGAAAAACGGAACACAGAGACCGTCGAAGTAAGTTTTCATGGCCTTGAGGTTATGTGAAACCAGGTTCTTACCAATGGAGGCGCGACTACTACTCAAATAGAAACGGAATTCAAGAAGTGCAGCTGACGACCTGCTCCGTTCGATCAATTCAGAAAAGGAAAAATCACATAAAAAAGATGAAGAAGTGCGAATGTAATCATTCAACAACTTCCTTCACTTCACTCAAAATTAGACGCATCGAAAGACTTAGGTTATCGAATTATTCGAAAACCAAATGTTTTATGTCAAATCAACCAGTAATTCTCTGTAGCTAGAATAAAAAAATTAAGCGGAAGAAGAACTTGATAACTAATCTCTACCCTCCCAACCTAATGGATGCGTCACCGCATACATTGGTCTGAAATGCCAAAAAGAAAAGAAAAAGAAATGTAGGTAGGTATTGAAAAACTGCGCCCATAGTTTCATTTAAGTTTCGCTGCCTAACTGTAGTTTGATAACCTGCCAACCTTCGATAAATTCACCTACACTTTTCTTTTACCT